CCTTTGTTAAATATTTCGAATATCACCACTGGCCTTCACCCATCTGAACCCTATATCAGTCCTGCAATGCTCCATCTTTGATTTAATATCCAGGGCCAGGCAGTGAGTATCTTTAAATTGCAGTAGCGTGCTTATAGCCGCTCTACTATCAGTGCAGATAACAGTTGGAACCGTTATTGCCTCCTCTGCGACCCAAGCCACGGCCTGCAGAATGGCATAAAGCTCCGCTTGGTAGACTGAACAAGCTCCGCCGAGACGAAACTTTCTTTCCATCACTATTTGGTCATCATCTATTACCACAAAGGCTGCACCCACTCTGCCTTCAATCCCGGACCCATCTGTGTATATCGTAAGTCCGTTTCTGTCACTGTACTCCTCGTCTATTATGCGTATAGGTTTACACCTAAAGGGCGGCGGCAGTATGTTAACATCGGGTCTAGTCTCGTACTCCGTTCCAGCAATAACTTGATCTGATACCACTATGTCAAGACCCCTTCTACACCGAAAGAGCATAGCCCTTTCTCGCAATACCAACTCAATCGGGGGAATCCCCGCCACCACCTGCAGAGCCTCAGTTGAGGTTGTCCTGTAAGCTAATGTCAACCTTAGGAGAGCGCATCTCTGGGCACTACTTAGCTTTTTCTTAATTGCACTCTTCCTCGCTGCCCCATGCCAAGCAGCCGCTCCATATGTCACTTTCGGCACAAATGCTCCATAGTAGATTGTTTCTATTGCTTCTCTTCCCAAGCCCCAAGTGGTCTTCGCAACTCTTGCCAACATATTGAACATCTTCGTCGTGTTGTCTTTGATTGACATGACATGAGGAAGCCAAGTCAGCCTGTTGTCCAGGGTTACCCCTAAGTACCTCAGCTGCCTAACCACCTGCACACTCTCATTCCTCATTTTTATAACCGGTTTTCTTTTGTATAAATCCGGTGTTTGACCTTTCGAAAAGACTATAGCCTTTGACTTACTAGGGTTGAAGGATAGTTTGATACTGTCACCCAGTGCACTTATCTTATCCAATACTTGCTTACTGATTTGTTCAATTTGAAGTCTTGAGTTCGCTCCGAAAAGAATCAGGGTGTCGTCTGCATATGCCATTTCTATTATATTCGCACCTTTGTCCTCTCGTAAAATCTGATTATACACAATGTTCCAAAACAAAGGGCCAGAGTTTGACCCCTGAGGACAACCTCTGCTTAGAACCTTAGAAAACTCCACTGAGTTGAGAAAAAACGAGATTCTTCTGTCATTAAAGTAGTCTCTGACCAGATTATAGAGATTAACTGGGAGCCCCGCTTCTCTTAGGGCAACCAAGATCATCGGCCACCACGCGTGGTCGAACGCACCACTTATGTCTACACTAATGCCACAGCAGTATTTGAATTCAGCCAGCAATAACTCAATATGTTCCACCGCTCGTGTAATTATATCCTCTGTGCTTTTGTTGGGCATAAAGCCATATTGCTTTTCACAGAAGAAGTGTTTGCCAAGTAGAAACGATGTAATGCGGTTGCTTATGAGATAGTCTAGGACTTTGCCCAGAATCGGCAGAAGGCTAATCGGCCTATAACTCTTCACATTCCCTTTGTCAGGATTGCTTCCCTTTGGAATTATCACAAGTCTTGCCGCCTTCCAGACAGCCGGGAAGATACCAAATTTAAGGCAAAGATTATAAATGCCGACCAGGTAGTTCGAGTCATACTCCCATATCTTTTTAATAATCTCAGAAACCATACCGTCCGGTCCCGGGGCCTTACCGGGCTTTAGTCTGTCAACAGCGTGCATCACCTCTTCCCTCGTGAAATCAGGGTCTTGGACTTGATCGTAAGTAGAAGCACTTAATTGCCTAATCCTTTGCTGCTCAGGTGTGTCTGTACTCTCCTCGTCACTAGGAAAGAACGAATCCATAAGCCTCAAAACAGTACTCTCAACTCCATCTGTAAATGAATCGCCTTCCCGTACTGCAGAGAGGAAGGTGGGTTTCCTCAGTTTTCCCACACTTGCTCTGTATAGGAATCCCCAAGGCTTAGATGTACAGTACATTCCGTACAGTAATTCCTCCAACTCTGTAACTTATTTCGTTTAATGCATTCCTTGTACATCTTACTTTTCGCCAGGTACTCTGCCTTTTTCCTCTGCCTTTCTTGCGGATTTTTGGCTCGTTGAAATCGTCTGCGTAAGTTGTTATTCTCCCTTCTCATCCTTGTAAGTTCATCACTCCACCAAGGCACTGACCGTTGACTTACTCTCTTCTTAGGAATGGTGTCTGCGCTAATGGCACAGAGCGTCTCTTGGAACCGATTGATGATTAACTCCGCCTCTTCTTTGTTCCCACAGTTTGTCAAGGTGTTAATATCCAGCGCAGCCTGCAGCCGCGCTTGAAAAAGCGGCCAATTGGCCCGATTAATGGCAAAATGTGGACTACAGTCCGCCAGTGTTTCTGTCAACAGTCCGATTTCCATGAAGAGATAACTGTGGTCGCTCAGGCTACAGAGTGGCGACACTTCCCACGACCAAATGTGCCTCACTGCTCTCCCGTTGCTTATAGTTAGGTCTATCCAGCTCTTGCCCACGCCGGCATCGAATGTCGGCAATGAGTCTGGTTGGTTCATGATATACAGATTATTGGCATTAACAAACTCTAAGAGTGTGTCCGCCCTTCCATCGTTCTCCGGGTCTCCCCAGAGCTCTGAGTGGGCATTAAAGTCCCCACAAATAATAACTTTCCTATCATCAAATCGTTTAATGAGCCTTTCCAGATTGTTAAGTAGTGGGTTGATGTCATCTGTTATCGGGCAGTAAGCACTGATTAGAACATACAACTTCCAGACATGTAAGATATTTATCACTGACCTCACCATAAAATACCACGGGAATGTATGGATTGTTTATAATAGCCACAGTAGATGGGCTATAGTATTCATTATATAATACCTTGTACGTGCTCCTTAGACAGGCTGGCTTGCCTTTACAACAGTATGGCTCTTGTACCATTGCTATATCAGTCGTCTCCAGCGTTTTGCAGAGCGCTGAAGTGCCACTAATTGACCTTTGGACATTGATCTGAACAATCTTTAACTTTCTTTCCTTTCCATTTCTACATACTTCAGGGTTACTCTCCATAGTCGATCTTCGACATTAGCATCTTACGAACCTTTAGAATCAAAGGACACTTTTTGGAACACGCATTATGTCCCGTCTCCTTCATTTTCTCTCGTTTACAGTTTACGCATTCTACTTTGCCTTTATTGGTACACTCTTTGTATTTATGGGCTCCCCCACATTGACTGCAGATGGGGCCCTTCTCCTTGCATTCCCTTGAGATATGACCAAGTTTACAACATTGAAAACATTGCGTAACGGACAAATAGTCCTCAACTCCGCACCGTGTCCAACCTATATTTAATTTCTTACTTTGCAATAGAAGTCTTCTTGGTAGAGGGTCGAGTTCTAACACCCAATTGGTTGTAGATTTAACCTTATTTCCAAATTGGAATTTAACAGTAGATTGTCGAACGAAATCTTCTATTTCCATTGCTTCCTGGATGTGTTCATTTTGTTGATAAATGCATTCTTGTAGCTCTTCACGTGTGATATCTTTGTCCACACCATAGATGACTACTTTCGGTCGTCTTCTCAAAGGTTCTCTGGTTTTAAGTCCTGTTCTTTCTTCTATGATACCTCTCAGCTTCCTTTTCTCCTCTGTTGTGGCCACTTCAATAGCTAGGCCTCCTCTTCTTAGTTTTCTGACTGCCTGGATTCCTATTCCCAGTTGCCTTGGATACACACTTTTCTTCAGTTTACTTTTGGTAAGTTCCGGATCCTCGTTTTCGTTTTCCGGGTCAACTAAGATAACCTCTCTACTTGGTGGTCTTGCTTGCTTCCTTGCGGTCACTTGCGCATACGAAGGAACGACTGGTCCCCCTTGCTCCATGTACTTATCCAACTTTTCGTGTAAACTCTCCATTGCCGCTTGCAGTGGATCCTTTCGCTTCTCTGACATCAACATGATTATGCGATTAATTTGTGCACATACAAACTTGACGTGATCGCCAGCTCCCAGCTTGCAGCCGGCATTGGATAACATATAATTGCGAACTTCTTCGCGGATGTTTTCCACTAGTCCAAGTCTCTCATCATCCGCTTGCACATCCGTATCTCTTTGCGACGACAACTCGTCGTTCGACAGCTGCACGTGTGGCCTTTTGGCCGTCATAGTCCTTAAAAGGACTGGTAAGTTCTATTCGCAGGGAACGATCTGTTTCACCCTTTCGGGCTACTTACAGGCAGGACCACGTGAAGGTTCGTCCCTACTTCCCCTGGGATTGTTACTAAAACGCTCCAAAAGAATAGCTAGACAAATCGCAGGCACTCGCCCTAGATTAAACAGTCGAAAAGCCAAAAAGCGCAAACAATCAATGGGGCACCCTGCCCACCCAACGGGACAGTGGGCCCCGGGGTCGCCGATAAAGCGAAAATCCCAAAGGGGGCCCGTAGGGCGGCTCAAGAACGGGAAATGCCCCGGAGAGCGGTCCTGCTACCAAAGGGGCCTGCAGGGCAGAACCGGAATCCGTATCTTAATATCCGGATGTAATCGACCAACTGCGGGTTCAGCGCAGGGCGCCGGATCCGCCCAACGAGCAGGCAGTTGTCCCGTGAAACCCCCCCGCCGAGCAAAGTGGCTCGGATGCCCTGTTGCTTACAATCTATAGATTCTATAATGCAACACCCAACGGGACAGTAGGCCCCGGGGTCGCCGATAAAGCGAAAATCCCAAAGGGGGCCCGTAGGGCGGCTAAAGAACGGGATATGACCCGGAGAGTGGCCCTGCTACCAAAGGGGCCTGCTCGGCTCGGAACCGGAATCCGTATCTTAATATCAGGATGTAATCGACCAACTGCGGGTTCAGTGCAGGGCGCCGGATCCGCCAACGAGCAGGCATTTGTCCCGTGAAACCCCCCCGCCGAGCAAAGTGGCTCGGANATAGAAACGTACTAGTAAACTCCTGTCGGGTGGATTAAATTATAAATCTACTGGCGATATAGGGGGGGCAAACATCTCTAGCACTCATTACGTAAATTAAAACGCTTCTTTTTGCGTAGAATCGACTCCCGTTTGGGCATGACCGAGTCCGAACCGCTCCTAATATTAATTAATACCGTATTTTACATAATAAAACCAATTTATTTAAAATACTTTTATTAATTAATGGAAATAAAAATGACACAAATAATAACAGCGGTGGAAACCGTTCCTGAAGTAATTATTTTGACGATTTCCGGACGAACAGAAAATTCATTTGTCGTCTTCCCCTAAAATAAGAGAGAAACGTAGAAACCGTACGTTTCTCCGGAAATTATAATTTATAGGAAACATCTGCTCCCGCCGACGAGCGAGGGGTCCTTGCTAGTAAAGCGGTAAATTTTACCCATTAAAAAAACGGCGGGTCTCCTCCTCCTCCTTTCGCCGGTTTTACAGACGGACGAAGAGGAAAACATTTAACACGGCATCAGGGCCATTAGTCGAATAGTTTCAATTTTCGGTTTTCAGAGACAAATAACTGTTTAGGGTAAACTGAGGAATGAGATCTCCATCGTCGCCTTCTTCCGTTCGTGTCGGTTTCTCCTCTTCCGCCGAAAATATTTCCCTTTCGTTTTCTTCCACGGTTATTTCGTTATTTTCGGTGTCCGAATGGTCAGAGTCCTCCTTCAGCTGGCCGACGGGCAACACTTTACTAAAAATAAATAAACTCGGCATTAAATATTTATGCTTATTATTATTATTATCGTTATCGTTTAGCCTCACCCACCTTTTCGTCTCCATCGTACACCCTCTACCCAAACCTAAATTCATTTTTTTCATTCCTTCTGCGATATTATTTCCTAACTTTTTCTCTCTCTTGTTTTTCTGGAAAAAGAAAACTTAAATTTCAATTTAATCGCATCAGTTATAATTATCTTTTATAAAGTAAAAATTAATATTTAAAACTATTTTAACCAAACGGAACCCGTTATTCCGTAATTTCAAAAAGTTGCGCCTTATTCTCCCACCGGCCATTCCCAAAGCGGGCACTACGAAAAGAAGACTGGAGGCAACATTGGATGAGTAAAAAGACAAAAATTTACTTCGAAACGAGCAATGACATCGTCACAATGCCGGGCTGTAATTTTTAATCATATTTTTCACTTATTTCATTTAAAATACATGCTCTCCGCCTCAAATTAGTAGTGTCTTGCTTCTGTACAACATACTTTTCCGTTAGCAATAGAGTCGTGCCGGTCTTCGGGGAAGTTTCAATAACCGGTACCCAATCGTGCAGTCTCGCCACCTTCTCTCGAACTGATACTTTGCAACTGTTTCTTTGTAGGGGTTTGAGAAGAATCGGTTTTGCCCCCGTTGTCCACCAACGTGGCAGACTGGGAGGACTTACCGCCATAGAATCGATCGACAATGAAATGCTAGGCCAGATGCGGTCCGAACTGCACTATCCGCTCGACGTGTGCCATCTCTTAAGGTTTGTAAACAAAACTTGGACGGTCTGTCTTTCCGTTGGTGTCTTAACAGTTGTAGGAAAAAATTTCTAAAATGCTCCTCCAAATTATGAATAACCATGTATTAATAAACGAAAGCTAATGCTCCGTAAAGTTATTTCATACACTATGTAGCGGACTTATCATATTCATAAACAACCCATTGCATTCAGACTATTGGTGGATATTAAATATTATATTAAGTATACAATATCTAAAAAAGGAACTACAGACGTTAATAAATTCTACTTCCAGAATTAATAATACAAAA